TTTTTTGGAGTTGATCTTGTATCCTGCCACATTACTAAAGGTATTTATCAGCTGTAAAAGTTCCTTGGTGGAGTTTTGAGGGTCACTTATGTACACTATCATATCATCTGCAAATAACGAAAGTTTAACTTCTTCCTTTCCAATTCGAATCCCCTTGATCCCCTTATGTTGTCTTATTGCTATTGCTAGAACTTCAAGCACTATGTTGAAGAGGTAAGCCATCGGGATTTTAAAGGTAGGAGTATTGCTGTAAGTTAAAGCCAACTTGGGCAATGTAGCAAGACTGTCTTTTTATTTTTTAATTTCATTTTTTTTTCTTTTTTGATATTTTTGAGACAGCCTTTCACTGTGTAGCCTGGCTGTCCTGGAACTCCCTATGTAGACCAGGCTGGCCTTGAACTTTGTCTCACAAATGCTGAGATTAAAGGAGTGTGCCACCATGCCAAGCAAGATCCTGTATTTAAAACAAAAGAATAACCAAACTAGCAAATCACTGCAAAAATAGGGAAATAAGAAATTGTAATTCTGCTATGTGTAGAGTTTATTCTTCAGAATACAGAAAAGTCAAGTATGGTGGCACATGCCTATAATCACAGCCCTTGGAAGGCTTGAAGTAGGTGTCAAGGCCATCCTGGGTCACTCAGGAGAAAAGGATGAGTGAAACTGCTACCATTGGTTCTGTCCTGAGAGTGTGCCCTCAGGTCCTCGTCTGTGACGGTGAAAGGACAGAAAGCCAGGATGTTGTCTCCTTGCGCTGATCTAGAACTTGTTTTGTTCTCATGTAGTGATGGATAGTGAACAGTTTGGGACCATGGTGCGGAGAATAGCCCTCTTCAGGGATGTACTCCCTAACTGCTTTTCCAGTACCAAGTGGTCAGCTATCAATCACATACTTATAAGTAGCACTAAATGGACTGAGCTGGTTGTATTTATATATTTAGATGCACACAAACACATTGACCAATAACAACTAAAAAAAGAGACCATGACTTCAAGAAGGAACAAGGCAGGTCTTTTTATTATTAAGACCAGTTCATAATGCTGAAACAAATCCAGGGGGAAAGATATAACTTCTATTTTTAAAATGAACATATATATTTAAAAAATCAGTTAAGTTTACTTGAAAATCAGGAGTAAAATGTGATTAAACACCAGAATTTCAGCCTGAAGGTGATGATGCACACCTTTAATCCCAGCACTCAAAGAGACAGAGGCAAGCAAATCTGTGTAAATTACAGACCAGCCAGAGCAAATTCTAGGACAGCCAGGGCTACACAGACAAACCCTGGATGAAAAAAAAATTAAAAAAGAAAAAAGAGCAGAAGTTGTGCTTATTACATTAATGACCAGGTATGTTTTTCTTTCAGGTCAAATTCAGTGAATTAACTGTTGACATGTTCCGTATGCTGCAAGCCTTGGAGAGGGAACCAATGAATTTAGCTTCCCAGATGAATAAACCAGGAATACAGGTGACCTTCCACCCACATTTGCCAGAGTGGTAACTCTAACACGTGTAAATATAGCATTCTCTCAAGCCAGCCATGGGTGCCTCACGTAGGTAGGCACACTAGCTGGCCAAATGTAGGATTGTTGCAAGGGCTACATAGTGAATTCCTGTGACAAAACAAAGAGAGCTCAGTAAGACACAGAGAAGTTGATATGACAATTACAGACTCTGAATAAAATGAGGACATGTGATAACTCACCTGTCACATACCACTTATGTGTTGTTTTGGGTGTGTCACTGTAGGAGTCAGCTGACAAGCCAACCAGACGGGAAAACCCCCACAAGTATCTGCTCTACAAGCCGACCTTTAGCCAGCTGTATACTTTCTTAGCAGCATCTTTTAAGGTATGTGTGGCCCAGGCCTTTCGTCTGTGGCGGGGAGAGTGCTCATGGTGGGCTCTGGCTGACTGCAAGTGTGAGTGGTCTGTGAACATGTGCTGCTCCAGCGGGAGTCCTGATCCTTGGACCTGGGAGTAGGAGCTGCTGCTGTCAGTCAGAGACTGTTGGTTAATCGCCATTCTCTCCCTTCCAGATTGTTATTACTAAACAACTTTGGGCTTAACACTCAGTGCAAAACTGAGGAGAACAGCTTGTATGTGCTCAGGAAGCTCTGTGAGACACTGTTGCTATCTGATAGGGAGAAGGGTATGGTAAATACCTGTGATCCTGCGTTTGGACAGGGGTTGGAAGCCCTCTTGGGCCACACAGTAGCAAGTTCAAGGACAACCTGGAAACATCAGTTTGCAGCAAAGTTAAGGCCACTGTGGGTTCCATACGGCCTCAAAAAAAAGTGGGAGGGATGATGGGAATTGGGTGGTATCCTCCCAAAATTTATATAGAGGAAGGTATGAGGAGAGTTTGCCCTTTTTTAATCAAACCAGTGGAGAGCTTTCTCCATTTTATGTTTTCAGAGAACATGCTCTCACAGATGGCAAGTTGTATTTGGAAAACATGTTACAGCTTTTTTCAGTGGCTTTGCAGTGGGGATCGCAGGGGATCTTCACCACTTAGAGCTTTGGGTGGCTACGCAGTGGGGATCGCAGGGGATCTTCACCACTTAGAGCTTTGGGTGGTTATGCAGTGGGGATCGCAGGGGATCTTCACCACATTACAGCTTTGGGTGGTTACTCAGTGGGGATCGCAGGGGCTCTTCACCATGGGATTTTAAATTGGAATATGTGGGAATATGGTAATTCTCTTGGAAATAGCAGCAGTGTGTTAAACGACATCATTTCCCCCACAGCTTTAAATTGCCCTGAACTTTAAATAAAACTATGTTATTTTTCTGTCTGTGGTTTTGCGTCTGGTTTTCTTTCATTTCAGGAGCTGCCTGCCAATAGTGTACTTCTGATTTACCTGTCAGCCACTGGCGTTTTCCCCACAGGTCGTTCTGATGGTGAAGGTACAATAAAGGAATGCTCCCACCGTGAGCAGGGCTTGAATTCTCTCTATTTTCTACAAGACAGTGGCCAACAGCCCAGAGACCACTTCAGGCTTTCTAGAGAAGCTTCCAAATTTAAAACCTCATCTGCTTCTTTAGTGACAGTGTTGAAAAGAATGGACTCAACTTGCCAAATTCAGCTGTTAGTCCCTGAAGTACAAATATCCTGAAATAATACATTGATCAAATTCATACTTTGCTATCAAATTTGTCAAAAGTATTATATATACATTTATACATATGCAGTTTGATATTTGTCATTGCATAGGAATATGGAATCTGCCAACTTATTTATTTGACATCATTAATCATTGTAAGCTTTTAATATATTTGGGGATTTGGTCAGAGGCAACATTATGGCCAAAAGTCTTAGTAGAAATCAGTGTACTTTTGTAACTGTGAAAGTTCAAGTCCTTGTTACGATTTTATTTTCAGTCCTTTTGTTTCATTGTTGTGGATTCAGTCCATGCAGTATTAGGATGCTGTTTCATAATAAGACCTCAAGTGTCAGAACATATGAGCTCAGAATTGTTCAGACTAGATGAGCAACTTAAATGTAAATGAAGGAATTAAATCTCTGGAGAAAAATAGTTTAACATTTTCAACATTTTCCTCCTCATCTGTCTGTTGGAATCAGCATTCCTTTATAAAATGCATGACCCACCATCTTCCTTGCATGACAAAGTAGTAAAATGTTAGTTACAGTGAAAGAAAGCAGAGCAAATCTCTATAGTCTTTATATTGCAGTGATGTTTTAGAGGGCTATAATCCAACTGTGACGTGAAGGATGGGATATAGTGGAGCACTGGTGGACAGGGACAAGGGAGGGAGTATCAGTAACTGCCTTAGTTCTTATTAAATGTTAGTCACTTTATATTTCTTATCTCTTGTTTGAAAACATGTTATTAAAGCAGATATTCTGGGTCTTAAATTAGACTGTTAACCTCTTATTTTACTTTTTGTAATCAATATAGGTACTAACTGAATGATGCTTTCTCAGAGATTATCTGTACTTCCCACAGTCACTGTTCAACTTAGATAAAAGTTAGCTAACTCTTATGACCAGTGGGGAAAGCCTAACATGTAAACCAGAATTAAAGAGGTTTACATAATAGTAAAATAATGGATTTTTTATGTACTGGAATCTGGCTGAATATTTTATAAAAATAAAGTTTTTTAAGATTTTTATTTTTTATGTATTTTTTATTTTATGTGCACTGGTGTTTTGTCTGCATGTGTGTCTGTGTGAAGATGCAAGATACCTTGGAACTGAAGCTACAGGCAGATGTGATACCATGTGGGTGCTGGGAATTGAACCCAGGTCCTCTGGAAGACCAGCCAGTGTTCTTAACCACTGAACCATCTCTCAAGCCCAAATAAAGTTTTGTTAGTCAGAATTTTCAAATTCAATTCTAATTTTTCTTTAAATCTTGCACTTAGTAGTTAATTTACAATTATATTTACTGGATCAGGTACATTAGTGTATCGTTGTCATACCAGTTCCTCAGGATGCTAAAGCAGAAGGCTCACTTAAGCCTAGGAGCTCAGGACCAGCCTGTGCAACATGATGAGAGCTCTGAATCCTGAATGGATGTGTAGGGGGAGAGATCGCAGTTTGCACTTAGCAGCTTTCTTTATAGGATACTTTTGTTAAACCAGAGATTGAAATTTTGTTTGCAATGTAAATGTTATTTCAAACATCTTAGGTCTCCGTCCCTTTTTACTACCCAAATTAATGGAATGCTATTGATTCTTAGCTTTGATGTTATTGCTGGGTTGTTTGTTTTTTTGGGTTTACTTGGTTTGGATTTTGGCTTTTCAAGACAGAGTTTCTCTGTGTAACAGCCCTGGCTGTCCTGGAACTCACATTGTAGACCATGCTGGCTTCAAACTCACAGAGATCCACCAGTCTTTGCCTCCTGAGTTTAAAAGTGTTGAAGTAGGCAATGTGCTGAAATGAAAATATTGCATTATAATAAAATGTTAAATTTAAAGATGGTTTAAATGTTTTGTACTTACCTTGCACGTATATCAAAGGGAGATTCAGTGGTGTTCTTGAATCTGAGCTTCAGATCAGTCTGTGTCACCCTCTAGTTGAATTCTGTTTCTTCTCTTTGTTCTTTAGGTCCCTACGACTTTGGAGGTGTACTCACTAACAGTAACCGGGACATTATAAATGGAGATGCAATCCACAAACGAAACCAGTCCCACAAGGAGATGCACTGGTACTTATTCTAGGGATCAAAACTCTGTAGCTATTGAGAGAAATGGGAACGTCCCTTAGACTACTTGTGTGTTCTTCTGTGAAGGCCTGCTGTTTCTAGCATAGAACCATCTTTAGAATTTCTCTAGCTGAAAAAGAAAATTCTGCTTTTAATGAACAGTGGACTTGTCTAATAACACTTTATATTAAATATAAACTGTTCATTCTGAAAAATGGATAAAGGAGACCATTGTATGTTTCAAATTATTCATGCCACAGTTAGTGTTTCCCCAAGCCACATGTGGTGCTCTTGCTCACCTTAGTTTAGAAACGTGACAGGTACCTGAGTACCTGTCAGCCCGACTGACCATCTGACAAGTGCAGCTTAAACCCATGACAAGTTATTACTTAACATGTGGTAGGATAGTTGTTGCAAAACGCAAGTATTGTTGAGGATATGAGCAGAGAGCCCTTGAAGACTGTCCTAAGAATATAATTTGATTGGTAGAATCATGGAAAATAGTATGGGTGTTCCTCTAAAAGTTAAAAATAAGGGCTAGCAAGATGGGTCAGCAGGTGAGTGCACTTGCCACCAAGCTTGATACCCTGAGTTCAACCCCGTATACCTGCGGGGTGGAAGTGAGCTAAATCTCCACAGATTGTTCTCTGACCTCCATGTGAGCGCTGTGGTGAAGGTGTGTGGGGAGAAGAAGAAATCACACATACAAAATGAATGATTATAAACCAGGTTAAAATAGACCAAATATAATGACTTATGTCTGTGATCCTAGCACTTGCTTACCAGTACAAGACAGTCTGGGTTGGCTACATAGCAAAGTCATTCATGTCTCCTAATGAGTGAAGAGGTGAATAAAAAAAGAAAGAAAGAAATTTGAAATATATGGTTGGGGAGTTGGCTCAATGGTTAAAACCCTTGCCACACAAACAGGAGAGCCAGCATTTGGATCCCCAGACCCATGTGACTGTTGGGTGGGTTGGGGGGGGCTGAAATGGAGGAGAGGAAATCCATGAGCAAGCTGGTTTGCCAGACTACCCATCTCAGCAAACTCTGAGTTTGATTGAAAGACTACCTCAAGTAATAAGATACAAAGTGACTTCAGAAGATTTCCAAAATTAACCTCAGGCCTCCGTTCATGCCCAGCACACATGCACGCACATATGCATACTGCAAAGGAAAAATAGCAGACTGTAAAACAATAACCCCATTTCTTGGTCTATATCTAAAGGAAATGAAATTATGTCACTTAGTACACTATCTCAACCAGATGTCTGCACCCCATATTCATCACATGACAAAAGTCAAGATTTAGAAATAACCTTTTGAGATTCGGCCATAGTTAAAAAATTCCTCACTGTTTTGTTTGTTTGTTTGGTTTGGTTTTTGTTTGTTTGTTTTTTTGCAGCCTTCACCCTGGAGATCTCTATCCGTTCACAAGGAAACCCTTGTTCATCATTGTGGACTCTTCCAACAGTGTTGCCTACAAGGTGAGTCCCTGGAGAGCTAATGTGTGTGCCAGGTATATAGCAGTAGCCCCAGGGTCCCCATTTCTAACATGTGTCCTTTTATTTTGCTTTGTTTTACTTATTTAATTTTGCAGTTTGTATTTAGTGTTTCTTTTCTTTTGAGGTTGTGCATGATAGTCAGGATCTGATGCTATGAATAGAAACAAGAAGAAACGCATGAATGGACTCAGTGGAAAATAATAAATCCTTCTGCAGAAAAAAAAAATTCAAGATTTCCAAGATCTCTGGTGGGAGGTTTATTTTTGTTATATAATCCAGACTGTCTTCCTTTACAGAGCTAGAGATAATATGGGTGGCTTATTTCCTGGTTTTTAAACATTTTCATTTCTACACACCTGTTACAGTTGAAGTGAAACTTCATCTCGTGTTACATAGCAATGACCTTGAATACTAACAATTTTACATTGCTTTGTTTTTCCATGATTTAGCCTAAATGTTGAATGAGTGACAATGGTTTAAACAGGAAGCACTTTTATAATATTTTGCTATTGAAACAAATCCTGAGGGGCTGGAATAAATGACTCAGTGGTTAAGAGCACTGCCTGCTTTCCAGAAAACCCAGGTTCAATTCCTAGCACCTACATGGCAGCTCACAACTGTCTCTAACGCCAAGATCCGACACCCTCACATAGACATGCATGCAGGTAAAACACCAGTACCTATAAAATAAAATCAAATAGAAAGAAAGAAACAAATCCTGAGCAACTGAAAAAGGACCAGTGGCCAACAGTTTGATGTCACTAGAATTCAAGCTATAATCATTTATAATAAAGCAAAGCAGGCTTTAGCCTCTTTTGTGTCTTGTTGGGATGTTTCATTAGGAAAAAGCATGTCCACGCTTGTTGAAATAAGGAGCAGCGGGGCTGCGTCCCCAGCACCCCGGCCGCCTGCTAGCTCATGCCCGAAATAACAACACACAAACTGTATTCATTTAAAGACTGCTTGGCCCATTTTGTCATATATCAATCTGTTGATTTCATTGGTTAAGTAATAAACACATGCTGGGCTGGTTTCTTGTTTCTGTCCTGAAAGTTCCTTCTGGAAGTGGCTGAGAGTCAGGAGTAGTGACCCACCCAGCATGTATGCTTTCCATTTGTTCATATGCAGTTTCCTTTTAAAACTAAAATCCAAATTCTAAGAGCATCTAACCCACCCTAAAATTTTTTGCATATTTCTTTCTACCCATTTTGTTAAGTTCAATGTTAGATTTTTTTGACTTTTAGGAAACTTATCTGCCCTCTCTTAATTTGTATATCTGTATATATCTGCTGGGTGTGGGAGGATGGATGGAGAGCTACTGAAGGAAGGCTGAAACAAGATTGGTGAGTTCAGGGCATCTTGGGCTACAGAGTGAGTCCCTGTCTGAATCAAAAAAAAAAAAAAATCTAAAGAAGAAGGTCCAGCACGTCAATATATAAGTTACATGTGCATGAGAGTTCTTTCAGGCTGGGCAGTGGCACACGTCTTTAATCTCAGCACGAGGAAGGAAGAAGCAGCAGATCTGTGTGAGTTCAATGCCAGCCTGGTTTACAGAGTGAGTTCCAAGACAGCTCGGGTTGTTACACAGAGAAACCCTGTCTCAGAAAACCAAAACAAAGAAAAACAAAAGTTCTTTTAAGAATAAAATAATCGAGGCCAGCCTGGTCTACAAGAGCTAGTTCCAGGACAGGAACCAAAAAAAGCTACGGAGAAACCCTGTCTCGAAAAATAAAAAAATAAAAAAGAATAAAATAAAAACAAAAAGAAAAATGGGAGGAAAATCATTGGAATAATTTAAGAAAATGGGCAGATTCCAAACTGAAAGAATTCACACAGACTAGTAGTTCAAATTACATCCAGATTAGGGCCCCGCCTTTTTCTTTGATATAGATACAACTAGAGAAATAGATGTGTGTGTGCATATAATACATACATGCACACACAATAGGCATATCAATGCTTTTTTTCTCATGTTTGAAATAGCTTTTTATATCCTTGAGTACGTAAATGATTATTTTCATTTTATTTGTATGTGATCCAGCCCAGGCCCTCACATCACGCTAGGTGAGTCTATCTAGTTACCCTTCCAGCCACAGACACCGTCTTAGAATCTCTCTCTTTGCTCTGTGCTGAGTTGTCTCTGTTTCTTGTTTGCTTATTTGTTTGTTTGCTTGTTTGCTTGTTTTTTGAGAGTGGGTGTCTCTGTGTAGCCCTGACTGTCCTGGAGCTCACTCTGTAGACCAGGCTGGCCTCAAACTCACGGAAATCCACCTGCCTCTGCTTCCCGAATGCTGGGATTAAAGGCATGTGCCACCACTGCCCGGCCTACTTTTAAGATTCTTAATAATTGGGCTGGAGAGATGGCTCAGAGGTTAAGAGCATTGCCTGCTCTTCCAAAGGTCCTGAGTTCAATTCCCAGCAACCACATGGTGGCTCACAACCATCTGTAATGAGGTCTGGTGCCCTCTTCTGGCCTGCAGGCATACACACAGACAGAATATTGTATAAATAATAAAATAAATATTTAAAAAAAAAGATTCTTAATAATTACATGGTGAATGGTGAGGTGAAGGTACTATGTTATTATCTTCTCCGTAAGGAATCTTTATGCTAAAGATTAAATATCCTGTGTAACTCTTCTTTCTCATTCCAAACTCCTGTTCTTTCCCCTCCTGGGAGAAAAGTGAGCTCTTCACGCTAGTACAAGCCTCCTGGAAGAAGGAGGAAGTGACTGACAAACCAAGCTCTGTGTAGCAGCTGTGACCCATATCTTTCCTAACGCGTTTTCATTAGGGTTGAAGTGGGCACATCAGTTGACTTTCTCTTTAGTCATGTAGCACTAGCTGAAAATTTAAAAAAAAAAAGTCCCCAATAATTTTAGGAAATTCTGTTTAATTATTATTTCTTTCCTTTGGGGGAAAGAAGATTCATTGTGAATATTGAAAATCTAAGTAAGCTGGGTCTCTGCCAGTGCAAATGTCTGTCAAAAGCAGGTTATCAGGAAATAGCCGTAGCCTCAAGTGTTTGATGTGTATATAAACTGCTTATATTGTATGACTTTTACTACGTAGTCAGTTATACCTGGTCTGCTGCCAGCCTCCCTCAACTTCCAGAATTCCATTTCTTGCCCCTTTGAAATTCCTTCTCTTAGCTTCTAATAATTTGCACTTAGATTGTAATGATTATACTTCAAATGGTTTGAATTGTTAGGTTGAGGTTTTCAGCCATTATCTCTTACTTGCTGACTCTTGAGCCTCTCTCCCATCTCCTCCTAGGAGTCTCAGGCTTTCCATGTTTCTTACCTTCTTCAATATTTTCCATACTTTTTTTTTTAGGAATTAAGTCATTTTTTCCATCCTGTTTTAGTTCACAGTGTCTCCTTAGCTGTGTCTAACAACATTATTAATCCATCTGAGTTCCATGTTAATGTAGTTATTTTTTATTTCTCTGACTCCTTTTGATAAATTACGTTTCCCATTATAATTTACTATTTTTAGTCTTTGCTTTTATTCCTTTGATCTTAATAAGCAGTCATTGGTGTTGTCTGTCACATAATTCCTACACTTGAGTCTACTTTTGCTATTTAAGATATCATTTTCTGTTTTGTGTTTGTGCATGTTTGATTATTTTTGAAATTTAAAATTGTATTTTGTGTGTGTGTGTACCTTATGCAGGCAGATATCTACAAAGGTCAGAAGCTGGAGCCGGGCGGTGGTGGCACACGCCTTTAATCCCAGCACTCTGGGAGGCAGAGGCAGGCGGATCTCTGTGAGTTCGAGACCAGCCTGGTCTACAATAGTTCCAGGACAGGCTCCAAAACCACAGAGAAACCCTGTCTCGAAAAACCAAAAAAAAAAAAAAAAAAAAAAAGG